TCCCTAGTTCTACATCCTCTTCTGAATCCAGCTTGCATTTGTCAGTTCTCTATGTACTGCTGCAACCATTTTTTAAATTATCTTCAGCAAATGTCTATTTGCATGTGATATTAATGATATTGTTCAGGGATTTCCACACTCCACTGGGTCACCTTTCTTTGGAATAAACACAAATATGGATCTCTTACAATCAATTGGCCAAGTAGATCTCTTCCAAATTTCTTGGCATAGATCAGTGAGTACCACCAGTCCTGCATTAGTTTCTTTTAACCTTTCAATTTGTATTCAATCAATTCCAGGAACCATGTTTTTTTTGTTTTGTTTTGTTTTTGCCAATGCCTCAGTGCAGCTTGGACTTTTTCCTTCAATACTACGAGTTCTTGATCTTATAGTATCTCTTGAAATGGATGAACATCTCTTTGTTATAGCGATTGTGTATACCTTCCATCTTTCTTTGATACTTTATGCATCATTTAATACTTGGGCAATAGAACCCTGCAGTGTTGCAAATCAAGTCTTGAATTGTTCATTTCTTTCAGTCTTAGAAATGCTAATTATGTTGTTCCCTTTTGGTTTTCTTATAACAGGGCTTTGCACATTTCATTGTAATACTTGACTTTGTCTTCTCGAGCTGCACTTTGAAACTTCTGTTCAGCTTTTTTACTTCATCATTTCTTCCAGTTGCTTTAGCTTCTTCCAGTTGCTTTAACTTGCTCAAGACCAAGTTTCACAGTCTTTTCTATTTTGGCAACTATTTCAAAGACATCTATGTTGGTAATTTCTTTCTTTTCTGTCTTATGTATGGTGTTCTTGATGTCATCCCACAACTCATCTGGTTTCCTGTCATTAGTCCCTAATTTTTTTCTTAAGATGTTTTCTAAATTCAGGTGGAATATACTCAAGGTCATATTTTGGTTCTAGTAGAGTTGTTTTAATTTTCTTCTGCTTCAGCTTGAACTGACATATGAGCAGTTAATGGCGTTTTCCACAGTCTGCTGTTGGCCTTGTTTTTTCTGGTAATATTGAGTTTCTTCATTATGTTTTCTCACAGATGTAGTCACTTTGATTTCTGTGTACTCCATCTGGTGAGGTTCATGAGTATAGTCACCATTTATGTTGAAGAAAAAGAGTATTTGAACTGAATAGGACATTGTTCTTACAAAACTCTATCAAAAACCCTGTGTGCTGAGGGGATAGGTTTGATCCTCAATGTGAAGACTCCTTTCTACTCAGTTGGTATTTGAGCAACTACATCCATAAGCAAAGGTCAAGTTAATCAAATAGTAGGTATTTACACTTGCATCCTTTATCAAATTTATTTATCTTCCTCTAGTCGAGCTCTCGTCATCAAGCCATCAAAGTTAGGTCAAATGGGTACTGTCTGCAAGTTTGGGCATTCTTGTGCACCTCCCCCACTTCATATCAACTGGATGCTTCACTGTCAGCTCTAGCCCTCAATGGCTAGGTCAATGTCCATGGGCTCAGGAGTTCCCAACTCTCCACAAATTTTGGACCAACTAGCCTTTTCTCTTCTCTCTGTTATCTCAAGGTCAACAGGAGTCTACAGAACATTGTCGAACTCAGCCCATGTCTTCATTACTGCCTTTTCCCCACTTTTATTCACAAGTAGACCAACTGGTCACCAGTAAGCTTACAAACCTGCTCATGTGTTCCCTTTGAGTTTCACACTTAGGGAGTAGTGGGATTTGTCCTGAAGGATCTTGATATCTTGCTAACCATTCTGGGTTTGTTTGTGTTTTTTTTCACCTGCTAGCATAGTGGTTATGAATCGGGCTGCTAACCTCAACATTAGCCGTTCAAAACTACCAGCTGTTGTTCCATGGGAGAAAGATGAGGCTTTCTGCTCCCATAAATTTGCAGCCTTGGAAACTCTGTGCAGGTTCACTATGAGTCAGAACCGACTCCATGGTACTTAACAACAACAACAATCTTTCTTTCAAGAAGTATCTTTTGTTCTTCTAGCCACTCCAGGTTGGTCTGCATGTCCTTTCAAATGGGAAATCCCACCTCAGAAGGTTCTAGATGGAGCTAAGTTCACCTAATGCCCCATACTCTACAAAGCCTCAACAAGAAGGCTAGTTCACTATGCAAATTCTAGAACCCCTTTAACGTATTCCAATCAGTTATAGGCTGAAGATAGGTTTACAAGCTTTCTATAGTCATGTTTCCCAATGTTCTTTTCTATCCCATGTAAGCGTCTATTTTACAATAGTAGGCAAAGGAAACCAATATCCACAAGATAGTCAATCTCCTTAACATTATTCCCCTCTTTTACCCATTCATACTATGCCTCAATACCTGTATCACAAATTCCTGGTGTTCCAAGGTTAAGTATATATCACTATTTACCTCTGTCCCATTTAGCCCATGCAAACCTACCTAAGTGTTCCTTGATATTCCCTGCTCTTCCACCCTCTCCTACTTGTGTGTTGCCCTTTCCCATCTCCCCAGCTTTGATGTGACTATACCCTAACCTGTGCTTTACTGTCCTATGCCTCCTACCCCTGGTAACCATCACAGATTTTTTTTTTTGTCTTTTAGTATGGAAATCTTTTCTTAAGCTTTTACAATAATGGCCTAATGCAATATTTGTCCTTTTGTGACTGACTGATTACACTCAGCATAATGTCCTCAAGGTTCATCCATGTTATGAGATGTTTTGCAGCTTCATTGTTCTTCTTCAAGGTAACATAGTATTCCATTGTGTGTATGTACCAAAGTTTGTTATCTATTCTTTCACTGATGTACACTTAGGCTGTCTCCATCATTTTTGCTATTGTGAATAGAGCTACAATAAACATATCTACTCGAGTTGTGGCTCATATTTCTTGCGGATATATACCAAGTAGAGGAATTGTTGGATCATAAGGTGCAACACTTTTTAACTTACACTCATTCTGGCCTTCTTTGCTTGCCTCAAGCTCAACTAGATCCTTCTTACTTCAGAATTTTTATATAGTCTTCTCCTCCTATCTAAAGGGATAATCCCTTTCTCAAGTAGTCCCTTTTACCTTATGACTCTTTTGTCCTTCTGTTTGCAATTCCTCAGGGAGACCATCCCCTCACCATATAATCCAAAGTAGATATGTTTTAGTAATATTTCCCCTAATCCCTGTTCTTTCCCCTCATAGCACAAACTCAAACTTTTGGTAAAGTATTGTCCTTGGGTTTACCTGTTTACTGGAACTCTTTCAAGTCAAACCATAAGATCTATGACAGCAGAAAACACATATAGTTTCTTTCATTTTATTTGTGTTTTTTATTCAGTTTTTTTGAGAGCACATGTACCTTTGTTCATCATGATTGCCATTAACTTAAAAATTACCTGGCACATATTAACAATGTATAAATATTTGTTGAAATGATGAGAAATATAATAAAAATAGGCTCTGGATGCTATGAGAAAACAAAGAAGTTAGAGTGAAAACTCACTGGTAAGGTAAAACAGGGAAACAAAGGAGGCTTTGCAGAGGAAGTGATAGCTGAGATTATCTTTAAATATGAAAGAAATGTGTAAATTAAATAAAAAAGAGAAATTAGTATAGAGAGAAGAAATTGCACATGAGAAAATGTGGTGAATAAGAAAGCTCATTGTTTTGGAAACATCAAATAATTTATGTTCAGAGTGCTGTGAAGTCTTTTGTGAAATATGTGTGTCAGAGTAGAACTGTGCTCCATAGAGTTTTCAATGTTTTGTAATTTTTTGTAAGTAGATCACCAGGTTTATCTTCTGAAGCATCTCTGGGAGGACTAGGATGGCCAACCTTTATTTTAACATAAACTGCTCTATTTGCACCACTCAAGGACTCCTTCAGAATGCACAAGGGCCACATGTAGAATAGAGGGCTAGAATGCTGGGGAGGTAAGCAAAGAGTATATGATAAATTCATGCTATCCAAGGACTCTAGACTTCATTCTGTTTAACAAGGAGAGACACTGAAAGGTGTTTCCATGGATTTTTTTTTTTTTTAACTTTCTAGGATTCCAGATTTCTACACTATTAATAATCCTGGTGTTGCATGGTAGGATAAACATTTAACCTCGATGTCGGTTTGAACTGCAAGGTCAGTGGTTCAAACCCAACCATCATTCCTCAGAAACCCTATACTGGATTGCTATGAGTTGGACCTGACTCCACACCCCTTAACATCAACAGTCTTTACTCAGTTTATTTTGCTTAGAATTATATGATATATTTAAGCAATTATGCAATGCTAAGCAGCTGCCTTAAAGATGATTAATAAGCAGGAGTCCTAATGTGTCACTGTAGGATAATCATTGGATTGTTAACCAAAATTTGGTGGTTCAAACCAACAAGTAGCTCCTCGGAAACCTTATACAGGGTCCCAATGAATGAGAACTGACTTGAAGGTAGTTAGCAGCAATAGCAGTTGCCTTAAAGATGATTAATAAATAAGATTGTATAGGAGAAACTCCAGGAAAGAAATTCCAATCTTAAACAAAGGAAGAACAACAATAATTGATCAATTCAAATGGACAAAGGCACTTTAATATGCAGATTGATGAGGTGAATCAGGGGCTCAAAATTAGACACCAAGGTTTGCTGCAGAATGGTTGGAGCCAAGGTTGCCTGCTATGTTTGGGGGGGTGGGGAAGGAAAAATAGGAAAGATTAGAGATCTATAGATACTCTGCTTCTGTTCCTTGGAAACAGACGGCTTGGTTATATCTTTGTTCTTATCAGTTGACATACTCATTTTGAATGACCAGTATTTAAAGAAGTGAGTTATAATGGAATTTGTTCTAGAACTGAATAATGCCTTCTTACATCTACATAGCTATGTTAGAGACAGCACTACTGACTACAAAGCCAGAATGTCTTTTTTGAGCCTTATGGTTGTCATATGTGAAATTGTATCAAAGTGCAGTTGGAAATATAAATGAAAAGGTGTGTGAAATCACACATTTTGCTTGGCACATAATAGGCACACAATTAACTGGATAGTTCAAATTGGCTCTTTAATTCACAGGAAATGAAGTCTGGCCCATTGCTCTTTGAAGAGATGATTTGAACTCCTTATTTCTTAGACTGTAAATCATCGGATTGAACAATGGAGTGAGGATGGTGTAAGACACAGATATCAAAGTGTCTTGGCTTGAAGAGTAATTGGACTTAGGCCTTAAGTAGATGAACGAGGCACAACCATAGTGAACAGTTACCACAATGAGATGGGAGGCACAGGTGGAGAAGGCCTTGTATCTTCCCGCAGAGGATTGGATTTTTAGAATGGCAGCAATGATATGGATATATGAGATCAGTATAAGTAGCAGTGGAATTACCAGGACAAAAACACCAAGCATGAATATGACCATCTGACTCAGGCGGGAGTGATGAGATGCAAGCTTGAGGACAGGAGAAATGTCACAGAAGAAGTGATGCAGTTGGTTGGAGGAGTGGAAAGGCAGATGAAATACCAGTGAGGTTGTGACCAGGGAGACAGTGAAGCCACAGGCACAGGCAGCAGCCACTAGTCCCACGCATACCTCATGTCCCATGAACACTGTATAGTGCAGTGGTTTACAGATGGCAACATAGCGATCATAACCCATGGCTGCCAGCAGGAAGGAGTGGGAACAGCCAAGGAAGAGGAAAGTAAACATCTGGATAGCACAGCCCAGAAAGGATATGGTCTTCTTCTGGGCCAGCAGGTCAACAAGCATCTTGGGTACAATGACGAAAGTGTAGCAGGTCTCAGAGCAGGAGAGGACAGCAAGGAAGAAGTACATGGGTGTGTGAAGGGTTCTACTGAGTACAATGGTGGAAATGATGATGGCATTGGTGCACAGAGTGAAGAGGTAGAGTAGAAGGAAGACAACAAAGAGCAGCCGCTGCAACCCAACAAGAGAAGAGAAGCCCAGGAAGACAAACTCTCTCACAACTGTATCATTGACCCACTCCATGGAGAGTTATACTATAGAGAAGAGTTAGGAACAGATTTAGAGGCTGGGATCCATAAGGAAAATGGAAGTAGCTTCATAAAGTCTTCAGGAAGCAGGCATTTTCAGATATTTGGTAAAACTCCTTCATTCCCTCTCAAAATGTCTGATAAAAGAAAATTAAGATTAATTACACATCTGAATCCCTCTGCAGGGTTGATATAAGTTGCTTCATCTTTCTCCAGCAGTACAACTGGTGGGTTTGAACTGCCAACCATGAAATTAGCAGTCTACTGTTTATCCAATAATACCAGAAGGACTCCTTGTATATCTCGTAGAGTCAAGAAATACCAAAGTTTCCCTATTTAGTACCTCCTTCTGGTTGAAAAGAATTCTGTTTCACACACTGGGAGAAAACAAATATATAGTCAAATTTTGTTCCTCCGTGTTGCATCACTTTTCCTAAAGACTATCTGGAGCCCCAAAGATGTTCATCTGCTGTCCTTTTAACCAGTCTAACTCCAACTCTGCTCTAACTCCACTGAATATGACATATGCTCTAACTCCGCTGAATATGACATATAGAATAGACCAGGAAAACTGGAATTCTCTGATTCTGAAGCATTGCCTAAATCAACCAAATGCCAAAGACAGTTAAGTTTAGTTGTTAGTTAGACCTATGAGTATGGTTTATATAAATTAAGTGACTGTTTGAAATATAGTATTAATATAATCCCATGGCCTCAATGAATTACTTGACTGATATATTTGTTCTTTCTATCGAGATCCAATTCATCTGAGAAGGCACCCCCAGCATCTCAGGAAGACAACAGAAACCAGTAGAGTATACTATCATCAATGTAGTTGGAAGATATAGAGGGGGAAAAACAACAACAAATAATTACTTTTACCCAATAACCCCAGGCTATAAAATGGAGAAAGCTCCTTCCCTTGGGATTAAGAAGACCTATTTATCTTTGTGACATTGAGTAAGATAGTTAACGTGGATGTTGTCTCCATATTTAAAAATTGAAGGGGACAGAGTGAATAATAACTGCAATTGCCCGTTATGATACAATGAACATACTAAAACAGTCTCCTTGATTTTCTGAACAATAACCTTCTGAAGGAGTTTTGGCTTAAGGTTGTTGTTAAGTGTCCTTGAGTCAGTTACAACTCACAGTGACCCTGTATAGGTTTTCTAAGAAGTGGCTGGTGAATTCGAACTGCTGAACTTATGGTCCAGTGCTTTACCATACAGCACCACACCAAGACTCACAGTAGCAGTTAAATATTATGATCACAAGAGCCCTTCTGACTCAGAAAGGCCAAGATTCTCTATTGTGATGATCAAAATCTTCCCTATTCTATAATCTATAGGTCTGTAATCTGTGTGTGGGATACAGGTTGTGATCTCTACAGAAAACATTCTGTGTCCTATTTTTCTAACTCTTTGGAAAATCCATTGTACTTTGTAGCACCTAGATTCAAATGATGTTGTTGGTGGTCTATGCACATAGGTCACTGACAAAATGGAATGACATGATATTTTAAGTGGATGGTGGCATAGATAAGCACTAGACTGTGAACCACAAAGCTGGGGGTTTGATCTCACCAGCTGCTTTGCAGAAGAAACATGAGACTCTGTTACCGCAAAGATTTAAACACCTCAGAAACCCTACACAGGGTAGTTATGAGTTGGAACCCACTCAATTACACTTAATAACAACAAGCATAGAGTGGATCAACTCATAGGCCTCTGGATTTGGGGTCATTGTCATCATTGGTTGAGTACTGTCGAGTTGGTTGCTACTCATAACAACCCTGTATAGGATTTCCAAAGACTGGCTGATGGGTTTGAACCACTGATGTTCCTGTTAGCAGTCCACTGCCACACTCAACAATGGAGGATCTGGATTCCTCAAAAAGAGAACAATTATGAAACTTGCATGTGCAACACTTTTGAGAAATTCAAACCTTAATTTTAGAGAAATCATCAAGCAGTTATTGAAGAGAAATTATGTAGATGACTTCAGAAAACAGAGAAATGGACTTTTATCTTCCCCAAATTGATTTATCAAGCTGGATTTTTAACACCATTTTAGATTCCAGTTATAGCTAAAAACATACAACCAGAGTACATAGCAGAAAAAACAAATGGAGGTTTGATAAATATGTGTTGTATGTAAGCTATATGTTACTAAATCTAGAAAAAATAAAATAAAATAAAACAAGAAAGGAAAAAGAAAATCGAGTTGAGGATAACAATGATTGGCTTGACCATTAAAAAAAAAAAAAATCATGAAACTCTGAATAATGTCTAGTCACCCTTACCACCACTTACTTTGATGGTGATTTCATGTTTATCAGAATAGAACTATACTCCATAGGATTTTCCATGTTGATTTTTCAAAAGTAGATCTCCAGAGCTTTCTTCCAATGCATCTCCAAATGGACTCAAACCTCTCATCTTTTGGTTAGTAGCTTAGTGTACTGACCATTTGCACCATCAAGGAACTCCTTATTACCTGTGTGAAAAAGTAGCTCCCGTTTCTTCTCCTGATTGCTGCCACTTAGCTGAGCTACTACACTGATCTCCATGGAGGTGAAGAGGAAATGCTCTCAAACACTCAGATTTCTGGTTCCATAAAGCCCCAAACTAGATCAGTGTTCCTGCTGCTCAATAAGTACTCACACTGTTCACTCCAATACAGAAATTAATAGCTATTCTATGTAGTTCTCAAGGAGCTCTGGTAGCGTAGTGGTTACGAATTGGGCTGCGAACCTTAAGGCCAGCGGTTCGAAACTACCAGCCGCTCCGCGGGAGAAAGATGAGGCTTTCTACTCCCGTAAAGATTTACACCCTCGGAAACCCTGTACCGGGTCGCTATGGGTTGGAACCGACTCGATGGCACTTAACAACAACAACAACAGCAACAACTATGTAGTTCTCTGGCAGAAGAAGAAGAAGCTGAAGAGAGAAAATCTGCCTGAAGACAGAGCCCTCATCCGCATTAAAAAACTAGCCTCCTCTATCCTTTATAACTCCTCCAACCTAAATCACTATCTTTAAAAGTTCTGGTGATCAAGATGGGGTGTAGTTATCAGAAATCTGTACTATGATCATTGGACACCTGAGGCCCTGGACACATTGCCTTGGGCTTAATTAGCAATCAACTTTATTATTAAAAAAAAATAATGCTGCCAGTTTCTCAAAGGTGGCATTATTTGAGAAACCAGGGGAATAGGAGCCATGAGCATAATAACCCTATGTCTAAATCGGAAATTGAGTCCATTTTCTGCAGTGATTGGATTCTGAGGTAGAATCCACTACAATTAAGACCATAATAAACCAGTGGAAATTTTTCATCACATTTTAATTCAGGAGATTGACATAATTATCCAGTGATTCTCAACTTTAGTGTTTGAAAGAATCAATAAAAGAGTTGGATTACAAACTGCAAGCCCAGAAATGATAACTTAACAGGACTAAAATGTTCTTCAAGAACATACATTCTTCAAGAACATACAGCTAATTTCAAATTTAGCTGTACTCTCATTAAATCAAGGAGCCATGGTGATGCTAGATTAAAACACTTTTTCACAAACCAAACGGTCAGAAGCTGGCCTACCAACCAAACCCACCAGCTGTATCAAGTGAGAAAGAAGTGGCAGTTTGTTTCCATAAAGATTCACAGCCTTGGAAAGTCTGTCGGGAGGTTCTACTGTACTGTAGGGTCACTATGAATCAGAAATGACTCAACAGCATCAGGTTTGGTTTCATTTTTCTGTCATTAAATGGCTTGCTATTTTATGAGTATCTTTCATCAGAAAAATTGAATATTATAAAGTTCTACTTCATTCCAACTAATCCACAAAGTAATTATAGCTCAAATTTGAATATGATTCTAATTCATATGAATTGTGAAAGTAAACTGACAGATGTTGTTGTTGTTAGGTGCCATCAAGTCAGTACCAACCCATAGCGACCTTATGCACAACAGAACGAAACACTGCCGGATCCTGGGCCAACCTCACTACTGTTGTCACGCTTGAGTTCATCGATGCTGCCACTTGGCCAATCCATCTCGTGGGGGGTCTCCCTCTTTTTCTCTGACCCTCCACCTTACCAAACATGATATCCTTTTCCAGTGACTAGTCCCTCCTGACAATATGTCCAAAATATGAGAGACGAAGTTTGGCCATCTTGCCTCCAAGGAGCACTCTGGCTGCACTTCTTCCAAAATGGATCTGTTGGTTCTTTTGGCAGCCCATGGCACTTTCAATATTCTCCTCCAACACCATAACTCAAAAGCATCAATTCTTCTACGGTCTTCCTTATTCACTGTCCAGCTTTAGCATGCATATGAGGTTATTGAAAATACCATGGCTTGGGTCAGGCGCACCTTGTGATTGCATGCTTGATCAATTTCAAACTGAAGAAGGTGGTAGAATTCTTCAATTTCATCATTACTGACTTTAGTGGTTGGTGTGTAAATCTGAATAATAGTGGTATTAACTGTTCTTCCTCATAGCCATATGGATATTATCCTATCACAGACTTCAAGCATTGTACTTCAAGGCTTATCTTGATGTGTTCTTTTTAATGATGAATGCAATGTCATTTTTCTTCAATTTGTCATTCCTGTCGTAGTAAAACACATGATTGTTCTATTCAAAATGGTCAATACAAGTCCATTTCAACTCATTAATGCCTAGGATAGCAATGTTTATGTGTTCCATTGCATTTTTGACATTTCCAATTTTTCTAGATTCATACGTCCATGTTTACAATAATCTGTACATTCCATGTTCAGATTATTACTGGATGTTCATATCTGTTTCTCTTCATTTTGAGTTGTGCCTCATCAGTAAATGAATGTCCCATAGGCTTTACTGCATTTGCATCATCACAATCAACTGTACTTTAAGATCGCAGCTCTTCTCCAGTGGTATTTTGAATGCCTTCCAACCTAGGGGCTCATCTTCCTGCACTAAATCTGACAATATTCTGGTTTTCTTCA